GTATAACCCCCTTAGAGCCCTTCATTGTTCACACCGAAGAAGTACTCAAACTTCTAAAGTCACAAAACCCTAATAGATCAATGGGCCCAGACGAGGTCTGTCCCAGAATACTCAAAGAGACAGCAGTTTTACTAGCCACACATTTCAAAACTGCCTAGATGAAGGTAAGTACCCTGATGGCTGGAAAAAATCTACCAAATCACCGATCTACAAAAAGGGACCCTGGCATCACGCTAGCAGCTACAGACCGATGAGTCTAACAAGCGTTCCAAGCAAAATTTTTGAACGTATCATTAAGAGAATTATTATTGAATACCTGAAGAAAAACAACCGTTTTTCTCCTTTTCAAAACGGCTGAGTTCCTGCATCACCAATATGTCATATGTCACGGAAAGTCTCAGCAAAGTCCAAAACAAAACGAAAACGTATATAAAAAGGAAAACCTTTTTGAATACAAAGTGTCATAAATTTCCTTCGTATCTGTAGGCGTGCATTATGTAAATTTTACTTACGTGCATTTGAAAATGTGTTCACTATCCAGATGCGCATATTTGTGCACTGCACCTCTCCCCTCTCCTCTTCCTTTAAGGTTCCTCCTTTCAATTACCTGAATCCACATTGAATCCCCCTCATTAGCGGGCCATGCTCTCAAATTCCCGTAACTAGGCATTACTCGTCGATCGAAAATCGGCAAACCATAATCCGGGACCATTGGGCTTAGCCTCGAACCCGTGAAATACTTCAAGACTTCAAAACTACACCCCCAGGCGAGTCGGTCCACCAATGGAACTCGCCAAACCAGGACACCCAACAGGCGAAGGTCTCTCTAAGAAGGTCTCTCTATGATTTGAATTTCATTTTGAATTCGGCTTATCGACTTTATAGGTTTGTTTTATCTTACTATGGGAGCAAAATCTAAGGCCAAAGCGGTAATACAAGGTCACTGGCCTTGCTTGGTCCCGTCGTTCATCGTGCGGCGCGCATTGCTTCGTTCGATGGAAATGGTATATTTGACCATCTCACGATGCCTCTACTAGAAAATATTCGGAAATGTGTAGCTAGGCGCCACGGTCTGACCAGGCGACCCACGCGCGTGTTGTTCAATGTGCGCATTGAAGATTCTTTCAAGACACCAAATGTTCCATCGCAGATAAGAGTATGTCCTTGCATTTGGCCCCATTTTGCGCCTTAGGATTTATTGGTGTACATTGCTCGGGAGGGTGTGGCTGTAACCGATCTTTTTCGGAGGCCAGGAAATCCCCAAGATATGAAGAAGATCATTAGTGATCTTGAAGCGGGTCGTCCTATCAACTGGCCGGATTATAACTTCTACACACTGGCGAATATTGCCAAACGATACCTTTTACATATTGAAGGTGGAATTCTTGGGCGTGATTCAGAAGAAAAGCTACTTTCCATGCTGGATCTACCTGATGACCAAGCCCGGATCGAAGGAATGCATAGGTAGAGTATTTTTTAATATGATAAGATTTTGATGGGTGTTCACCAACCAATACATCTGACCGATTTTTAATCTACTTTACTTTGGAAAATAGCTATTTTTGATCTAAAAACTGGCCATAGAAAGTGTTTGTGCGTATAATAAGAAAACTACTCATGCATTTAATTGCTTATTTAAAGTCTACCCGATGATATAAAATGGGTTTCACGAGTGTGATGTTATAAATTAAAAGTTGGTGTTAAAGCTTAACTGAACTTCGTGACGTCCTTGAAGCAAACCCTATACTCTTACGTGGGTTAATAATAAACTTTGGACAGGTAACTGTCTGGAACTTTATCTGAATTTTGCCCACCGGTCGGGATTCAACCAGGAAATACTTGTTTTTATTTCCTACTGGATCCACCTAGCGCTAGGAGTAGCCACCGAAAGTTGATCACTTTCCTCTTGTTTTATCCGTTTTTGCATTGCTCATTGAGAACAACCTTAGCTACTTTCGAGTACACGACTGTTTTCTCTCACTCACCACATTAATCTGAGTCACTGCTCTCCCTCTCCTTCCCCTCCTAAATTCCATAATGGATATTTGTAGGCTTCCCTTCCGCCGTGTAGCGAATGGAATATGAATATGGCTGGCTGGTTAGTTTTTTTTATTACACACGTGTGTGATGAACAGCAAACGGGACGAACCCTATAGTCACGAGGACCTGCTGTTCAGTGGTGGAAACCGGTAACCTAAGCCCCGGAACTTGGGGTGGCGAACCATAAGGTCCCGATAGGTTAGGCCTGGTATTGAAACGGACAACAGCAGAGCTGCTTTGGAGTACGCGGTTGAGGTTCTCCTAAGTAAGGCTTCGCACAAGTTTTACGCTTTTCGAGTTGGTATTGATGTCTACGTGTGTTTGGCATGCGTCTTGTATCTTCAAAATGTACGACGCAGGTGAAGAATGTTGTTGGTCCAGCCATAATCTTATTGTGACCATCCGATATTTCTGGTGAATGCATCACAAATAAATTCTCGGTATGCACGCAAGAGACTAGGCGACGCAGCGACGCAGTACCATCCAACTATCTATGAAGGTTTGAGTGCATGCTGTATCATCATACTTACATGAAATTATGAAATCCAATGATTATATTTCGGACGAGGCATTTCAGTAATGCGTCTCCGGACCAACCTAAGCACACGGGGATTTGTCGCAACCGGTGACACTCGTGGATCTACTAAATTTTTATGTTGTATTTGTACTGCCCTCAGATTGTTCTTTATTGTGGGCTTTTAGGCGACAAACAAAACTGACGAGGGAATGTCAGTAGAACATACGAAAGGGATTCCGTCCTTGTGTAAGTATGAGGGGGGGGGTGATTTATTCCTTCTCAAGGTTTTCATATGCTCACCAACCAGTGGTTAATAACCCTTCACTCTTCCCCAATAATATACCACCCCGGCCAATAGTAATCTGCTAGGAAGTTTATTTAATGATGTTCCATCAACATTTATCCCTTAAGTATAAGTACTTGTCTGCGTCCGATTTGGAAGCTTAACTTTCTTGGTGGCCTACGCGATTCGTTACTCTAGCTCTCGGCTTTTGAGTTACTGGTTTCTAAACCGGTTTTTTGACTGAGGTTTACTTTTTCTGTTCCTGACTGCAGCGTGGATTCACCCCACGTAAAACACATGGCTTTCATCAGGGTGCCTCGTGATTAATCAGTTTCAAAATCGAATCAAGCTTTTTGATTGTGTGACTGCGCTTCATTCGAAGTTACCTTGACAGTAATATGATATATGACACTTTGGTGGTCGACAGCTTCGCTTCCATCGGCGTAAACACATCTGATCTCAAGAGACCCTATGTGGTCCACAACTCCAGGTCCCGGGGTTAGGTTACTGATTTTCACGAGTGGAAAACAGGCCATCGTTATGGTGTTTACCCTCCTGCTACCGCACTAAGGTGTATAATAAAAAACGCAAGGTTCGGTTCCTCACTAAGATAGATTGTGATTAGAAGAACAAAGGTAGCGTCTTTATAAGTAGCAACAGCTGGCACCCTACTCTACTAATTAAACAGAATAGCCCGTGAATTAACGATTACAGCTGTCATATCGCACTCAATCTAATGTGGAGTAAATTTTACGAAGTGCCCGATGGCGTTGTTTCTTCATTTACATAAATCATTCAGTTTGTGCCGTTGTAATGGTTGTGTTTAGCTTCAGTTGGGTTCATTTGTTACGGGACGATTTGTGGCTCTTGCCAATCAGGCGTTCAATTATGTCAGTTATCGGCTAGTTTTCTTGACTTTCAACACTTAATTATGCAATTTTTCTGAAAGGTAGAATAGTGTGGTGCTGCATCACATCCTTTCAGGTTGGGTTTTGGATAGTAACTAAATGCTTACCTTGGGGAAAACTTTTGTCCAACACTCCTCCAATACCTTTTTGAAAGCATTTACAATATTGCAGCTTACAACTGTCTGCAGTAACCTGTTCGACAACAAAGTTACCCTGTTAGTGAAAAAGGTTTTCCTCAGTTGCAGCTTAGAGTTGTTTTTCTTGAGACGCAAGTTTCGTTGAATGCGGATTCAGCTCACTAATAGTCAGGAGAATAACCGTGATAGTTGATGTATTACAACATGTAAGGTGATGAGAGGTTTTCACCTGTGTTAACAGCTGTA